ATTAATATTTATAAAATAATCATTTTAAGATTTATTTTTTTGAACCTTTTTAATTTTAATTTTTTTATTTTTAATGAAAATCTTTTTAGATGAAAAATATCAGTTGACTAACTATCAATTTATGAAGTTAATAAAATAAGTCTTTGTGACTTTAAAAATTGACGTGACATAATGATAATTTTAATGTATTTAGTTTTATTAACTATTCGTTAAATTATATCATATTAAAAAATTTGAATCTAAAAATCCAAACCAAAAAATGATTATATGTATTTTCGATTAATTTATTTTTAGTTAAAATTAATTATTTAATTGTGTTTTAATAAAAAATATAAACTAAAATATTATATTTTTAATAGTATTGACATGATAGTTAATATAGTAATACGTGTATTATGCTCACACAATATTGTTTATCTAATATATTATGTCCATAGATAATTTAAGAATTATAAAAAAAATTAGTTCAAGGGGGTAAAATACTACTTTATTTTAGCTAGATCTCTCGAGTAAAATTAACCATTTAAATTTCGATATTATAAATTGAATTGAGAGAATTATCGTATAATGAGTTTATATAATATTCAATCTAAACCAATCTATCATTTGATCAAATACCCGTGATTATAAAAAAGCTCTTTACTTTTCTTAAAAATATCAAATTGAACCCTAGACGCAACATTTTATTTTTGTCGATTCATATCAAGTAACTTCGTTAGTTAAATGAAAGGTAAAAGGGTAACTTTTGCCCCTGTAGTAGATCCAATTTATCACTTTCGTAGCCCTCAAAATTACTCAATTGCATCATTCTATGCCCTACCTCTAACTTAAAACCCTAAACTCTAAACCATAACCTCGTGATCTTTAAACATTAATCCCTAAATCCTAGTTTAGGGTTTTAAGTTAGAGGCAATGTATAGAATGATGCAATTAAACAACTTTGAGGGCTAAATTGATGCGAAAATACGATATGGGCGAAAATGATAAATTGAGTCTGTTACAGGGGCAAATGTGACCCTTAAACCTAAATGAAATATTGTTTTCTTTGGATATTTTAAGTTCGAATAGCTACGTCTTCATGGTGTATGCATTATTAATGATTAAAAAATTATTATGAACATATAATACATGTAACATGATTGAATCTCTCCAAAATAAAGTTTTCACAGTATTCTAAAGGTTAAGATATAATCTATATTTATGAAGAAAATAAATTTGGTTATCAAGAATCGAAACTCTACAAGAATTCTTACCTAGATAAACTTAATTACTAATTAATATTCAACTACTATAATTATAGGGTAAAATACATGAATGGTCCCCTGACTATAGGGTATTATTTTATTAAGTCCCTCGACTATTAAAAGTTACAAAATGGTCTTCTGACTATAGATTGTTAATTTATTGAGTCCTTCGACTATCAAAAGTTACAAAATGGTCACCCAACTATATATTATGTTTCAAACTCGTCATTTCCCGTTAAAAATTTGACGATATTTTGAGCTGAATGTTAACTTGTTGGCTGTGATATGATAAAATCAGATCCTAGAATCTTAAACAACTATCACGTCCCAGTCCCAGTTATTATGTTAACGTTCATCTTAGACAACAGTAAAATTTTTAATGGAAAATGACGAGTTTGGAACATAATGAATATTCAGATGACCATTTTGTAACTTTTGATAGTCGAATAACTCAACAAATCAACACTCTATAGTCAAAGGATTATTTTGTAAATTTTAATAGTTGAGTAATTTAATAAATTAGTATCCTATAATCGGGGACTATTTATATACTTTATCTTAAAATTAATTGTACTTGATAAAGTATTTGTGCTCTTTGCAATCTTACCTAGAAAATAAATAGTCGAGAAACTTAATAAAACAATACCCTATAGTTGGAGACCATTTCTATACTTACCTATAATTATAACAAAATATAATTTAATTATCAACTATAATTTCAGTTAATATTTGAATTCAGTTTAGTTACTTACCTAGAAAATTTAATGTTAAGTTTTGAAAGCAATTAAAAGTTTAGGAACTAAAACAGAGCAAAATTGATAGTTTAGGTACTAAATGTGTTAAGATTTTAACGGCGAGGTACTAAAATGAAACAAAAACTAAACGTTAGGTATGATTTTGAAAAAATTAAAAGTTTATGTACTAAAATAGACCAAAACTGATAGTTTAGGTGGTAAATGCGTATTTTACCCATAAATAAATAATAGTGTAAACTACTCATATAGTCCTCGATTATAAAATATTTCCTTTTTGCATCTTTCAATTGTGAATGATTACAAAATGCTACAATTCAAAGAAAAACTAATATAGTAATACATATATATATTGTGTTATGTTTTTCAAATCATGTAAACGAGTTTGTTCGTAAACAAAAATAAACCGAACACACTTCTATTCATGTTCGTTCGTTAATTAAATGAACATAAAAATGTTCATTAAGAGAAGTAAATATAGAAACGATCATTGACGGGTATTTTTTTATGAGAAGTTAACGACAAAGATGTATAGGTCAAGAAAAAGGAAGCGGAGAGGATTTCATTATGTGATTGAGAGATATTTATAATGATTTTAGTTGACGATATTAGACATAGAAATATCATTGTTACTCATAGGCCAATATATTAAATAGATTTGATGACAAGATCTTAGATTTTTCTTCCGTAGATTACAGACTTGTCAGAATTATTGTTTATGCATTACAACTGACCGAGAGACCTTGAAGACATAAGTTCATTGAAGACTTCGATATATGAAATAATCTATATTAATTTATCGTCGAATTTAAAATTTACAAGATCTATGTATCCAACAATTTTCCATTTTATATATATACTTTCATGCTAAGTATCTGAATATTGGTATTTTGACTTGATTCGAACAAAGTTCGATAATTCTGACATTCATAAGCTGAATACAAATGTTAAATCTACTGTCAGACGATAATATTCATTCGATTCGATGATATTGTTATGCTTTTCGAGATATTCTTCTTAAACAATTCTTTTGATCATCGAAATCTTCGAAAGATTTTTTTCTGTAGATCGTAATTTTCAAGGTTTTATATTTTCTGATCAATTGTTTCCTTTTGACATGATCATCGACAAATTCAATGATATGTTATAATCGATCCACTATCAAAAGATCCGATTCATTCGACCTATCAACCTACGAGTAACGATTATAATCTTTCTTCAAACTCTCTTTTTAAGAGTCCAATGACATTTATCGAATGCAATTCTTCGAATCGATCATCGACTGTAACTTTCCGTCTAAAAAATAATGACTATGACCAAATTTACCATCAACATATATTACCAATTTCTCTTGCTCCAATGGCAACTGCTTGTGGTATTCAAAGCCAGTTCACAGACGGATTCAAATCGGAACATAAAGCAACCCCATAAACAAAAGGTTCAAATTTTCAATTAAGTACACAAACTTGTCACTTGTTCAACTAACATTCAACTTTTTATATCATAAATACACAGATGATTTGATTGGAGGGGGGATTTAGAGAGGAAGCACCTTCTTAACAATGTCCTGACTGAGAGCAGCAATCTGGGAATCAAGTGACTTAATAGTCTCTTCCTTCTGGTTCTCCAAATTAGCCAAAGCCTCCTGCAATTCAGCCTCAACTTTCTTCCTCCCCTCAGCCAGTTTCTGCTCAACTTCCAACTGAGTCTCCTTCTTCATCTTGTTCAAAGCAGCTGAGATCTCAGCCCTTGCAGCTCTCATGATAGCATTTGCCTGTTCTTCAAGCTGCTTAACCTCCTCAGACGTGTCCTTCACACTGGAGAGCTTCTCCTTTATGGCTGAATCTCTCTCGTCCATGAATTTCCCCAGTGGGGTGTGAAGTAGACCTTGTCGAGGGCAAACATGAGGAGCAAGAACTGGACCATCATGATGGGGAGGGTCAAGTTGAAATCGAAAAGTGCAGCCTTTTCGATCTCTGCAGCAAGTGAAGGTGGGGCGAAGGACAAAGAGGTGAGTGTCAAAAGGGAGATGGATTTGAGAGTGGGGATTTGCTGGGTTTTCAAGAGCTTCGGGGTGGGGATTTTTGGGAGGGAAAGTTGTGGGATTTTTTGGAGTTTGGGTTTTGAAGGTGAAGAAGAAGCAACAATGGTGATTACAGGCTTTGAGGAAGCCATTATCATGCTGGCCATGGCTTCTGTCTGGTCTTTGATGAAATGAGGGAAGGGATGAGTCTTTTGAGCTACTGGTGTGTTAAAGATGGGATTTTTTTGGGTTTAAATTGAAGAAGAAAAAAGTTGTGGTTTTTCTTCAATCTTTTTTGTGGAGAAGAAGATGTGTGTGAAACTTTGCAGAATGTTATCTCAATCTTTGCCACACAAAAATGATGAGAGGCTATGGTGGTTTCATTTCATGTGTAGGGAAACTGGGCTTTGGATAGAGTAATGGGTCTATACCATTGACCCAATAGAGAGAATTTGAGGATTCTTTGTTGCTTTCATAGTTGGATACATCCGAGATGAATATTCGATCGAGTTAGGTCGAACTAAATTTTTTGAGTTAATAGTTTTATTTTATAAATTAAATTTTATTTAAAAAACTTTTGGAACCGAGTTTATAAAATTCAAGTCAAATTATAAAAGTTTCTGTTTAAATTTAATTATAAAAATTTATGATGTTATAGTACTAAATGATTTTAGTTTAAGGGAGTAAAATATAACTAACTTAGAAAAGGAAGGGTAAAATTAAAATAAACTAAAATTTAAGGAGGTAAATAGATATTTTTTTCTATATTTTTAGTGATAAAAGGACAGTGAAAAGAATATAACTTTAAAATTTATTTTTTAAAAATATGATCCTATTAAATTATATCAGATTAAAATCAGTCCATTTTAAGAATTATATCATCACTTACCCTAGATTATTTAAAAGATTCCAAAATTAAACTTGTTGATGGGTTTTATTAAATTCCTCCAGAACAATTTCGGTGATCGCATCAACTTAAACAAGGCCGCAAAGCATCTCATCAAAACCCAATACACCGGCGGCGCCGCGATTCACCGCCTCTTGCCGCCGTACGCCGTGAGTATTGAAGGTGTAAACTGAAAGAGCAGTTCTTCCTCTCTTTTTTTCCCTCAAATCTTTGTTCTCGTTTATAGTTGGGCTTCATTAATGGTTTAATTGACGTTAATTACGAGTTAGTTAATTGAGTTTCGTTAGATTTCTGCTTAGGGGTTGAACATTTTAAAGTGAGATTTCGGTTTGATAATTTCCAAACGAGAAACGAACGAGGAGGTTTTGGTTTGAAATCCGACGGTCAAGATGCCGAGCACGATTCAGAAAGCGATCGGAGCCGTTAAAGATCAAACCAGCATAGGACTAGCGAAGGTAGCTAGCAACATGGCGCCGGACCTCGAGGTGGCGATCGTGAAAGCTACGAGCCACGACGATGACCCTGCCAGCGAGAAGTACATCCGTGAGATCCTGAATTTGACCTCCTACTCGCGCGGCTACGTCCACGCCTGCGTGTCGGCGGTGTCGAAACGGCTAGGGAAGACTCGTAATTGGATCGTTGCGCTCAAAGCACTGGTGCTTGTTCATAGGCTGTTAAATGAGGGAGATCCTCTGTTTCAGGAAGAGATCTTGTATGCTACCAGGAGAGGTACTAGGTTGTTGAATATGTCGGATTTTCGAGACGAAGCTCACTCGAGCTCGTGGGATCACTCTGCTTTTATAAGAACTTATGCTATGTATTTGGATCAAAGACTTGAACTGATACTTTTCGATAGGAAAAGCGGTGGAGGTAGTGACGCCGGGGGAAGTAATCATGGGAGTGGTGATGATAGATACGGAAGACGAGATAATTTTCGGTCACCGCCACCGAGGCCCTACGATGATAGATACGGTGGACGAGACGATTTCCGATCACCACCACCGAGGCCATACGAATATGATTATGGTGATTCCAGAGGTGATAATGGATATGGAAATTATGGGATGCCTAGGAGAACAAGGTCTTATGGTGATATGAGAGAAACAATGGAGAGGAGAGATGGGAGAGAGGAGAAGAAAACAGTGACTCCATTGAGGGAGATGACTCCTGAGAGGCTTTTCGGGAAGATGGGTCACTTGCAGAGGTTGTTAGATCGGTTCTTGTCGTGTCGGCCTACAGGATTGGCAAAGAATAGTAGGATGATCGTGATCGCTTTATATCCGGTTGTGAAAGAGAGTTTTCAGTTATATGCATATATTTGCGAGGTTTTGGCTATGCTGCTCGATAGGTTTTTCGATATGGAGTACCCCAATTGTGTTAAGGCATTTGATGCATATGCAAGTGCAGCAAAACAGATCGACGACTTGATCGCATTTTATAATTGGTGTAAGGAAACCGGTGTGGCTAGATCATCGGAGTATCCCGAGGTGCAAAGGATTACCAGTAAGTTACTGGAGACATTGGAGGAGTTTGTGAGGGATAGAGCTAAGCGGCCAAAGAGTCCTGAGAGGAAAGAGCTGCCTCCTCCTAAAGAGGAAAAGTCTGCACCAGATATGAATGAAATAAAGGCCCTACCTGCTCCAGAAAACTACACTCCACTACCACCACCACCAGAGCCCGAGCCTGTTAAGCCCGCGGAGCCGCAAGAGGATCTAGTGAATTTGACGGATGATAATGTCACTGCCGATGATCAAGGGAACAAATTTGCTTTGGCTTTATTCAACGGCCCGGCTAGCAACGGTAATGGATCTTGGGAAGCTTTCTCATCGAACGGTCCCGAAGTGACATCCGCTTGGCAAAACCCCTCTGCCGAGCCGGGGAAGGAAGATTGGGAGCTGGCTTTGGTTGAGACAGCTAGTCATTTGTCAAACCAGAAGGCAGCTTTGGGTGGCGGCCTTGATCCACTATTGTTGAACGGCATGTATGATCAGGGAATCGTAAGGCAACACGTTAGCACCACACAGTTGAGCGTGGGTAGTGCGAGCAGTGTGGCATTACCAGGCCCCGGGAAGACAACGACACAAGTTTTAGCCCTTCCGGCACCCGATGGAACAGTTCAGAATGTCAATCAAGACCCATTCGCCGCATCTTTGATCATCCCTCCTCCGTCGTATGTACAAATGGCCGACATGGAGAAGAAACAACATTTTCTTGTCCAGGAGCAGCAAGTGTGGCAGCAATATTCAAAGGAAGGGATGCAAGGTCAAGCTAGTTTGGCCAAAATCGGTAACCCTGGATACTACGGACCCAGGATGCCTTACGGAATGCCACCGGTCAATCCGATGGGGCCGCCTGCCGGGTATTACTACCCTCCTTATTGATTTCTCCATATATGATACAGATACATTATCTTTTCTAGTTTTCTTTTGAGACTTATTGTGGGGATTCTATTTACTTTCTCATGTAATCCTCTCCTTACATCCATTGAACCGTCTCTGCAATGATTCTATTTATTATTGAGTTGAGTAGTTTATGGGCTGTTTAAATTTGGCTCGGTTAAAATTCGATTAATGTTCGATTCAAGTTGACTCGACTCAAATTTGAGCTCAATTCAAGACCTTAACAAGTGAAGTCGAGTAAGATCTAAATAATAATATTTGATTAAAAAATCTAAATAATAATTATTAATTTACTAATAAATAATAAAAATGTTAAATTATTAATTAATAATTATTATTCGTTTATTAATCTATTAGTTTATAAAAATCATAAGAAAAAATATTAAATTATTAATTTACTGCACTTAAAAATCAAACTCTAATTAATCTACCTAAAATTCTTGTGAGCTGCAGCAATGGGTTTTTAAGTAAATTACACGTTTGGTATTTAAACCATCAGTTTTGATTTGTTTTAACACTTAAATTTTCAATTTTTTCAAGATCATATTTGGCATTTAATTTTATTTCATTTTAGTACATCGTCGTTAGAAACCCAACGACATTGTATTTTTTTGAGTAAATTACATCACTCATCACTCAATTATCTTCTCATTCTTATTTTGGTATCAGCTTTCAAATTGCTCTTATTTTAATTACTCTAATTTATTTTATTAATAACTTTTATGACATGATATTTTTTTTTATTATTTTATTAATATATAATTAAAAAATAATAATAAATTTGAAAGTTAAGTAATTAAATTAAAAAAATTAACTTTAGTGACCAAAATAGGAGTGAGAAGATAGTTGAGTGACGAATGATGCAATTTACCTATAAAAAGGTGTCACATGCAAATCACCCGTTAAGTTTTATCAACGAGATACTAAAACGAAACAAAAATTAAACGTTAGGTATGATTTAAAAAAAATTGAAAGTTTAGATACTAAAACGGACTAAACTGATAGTTTATGTATTAAACACGTAATTTACCCTATTTTTTTTAACGAATAATGAGTCAAACAACTGATTTTTTTTAATGAGCACGAGTCTAGTGAAAATGTGACGAACTTAACAAGTAACGAGTTGAGACGAACAATAAAATCTATTAATGAACACGAGTCGAATATTGTCCAACTGGCGATTGATTTGCTGAATAAGCATCCCTATTTATATAGGATCAAGAAATTTTGTTGCTCAAGTAAGTAGAAGGTTTGGATCAAGAAACTTTGATCTCACTCATCACCTGTCACCATCTTCCTTTGATATTAATTCCTTCAATCGTTCAAGTAACATGTTAAAGTCATCTTCGGTTCCGATCAGACTCAATCGAACATATCGATCTTCTGCTCCGAACAAATTTCCTCGACGGCCGATGATGTTAGCTGCCTTGAGAACTGCATAACAATCTTCATCTTCTTCACTCTCACATTTCAGCCATGCGTAAGCTGCCATAACCATAAGGTTGTTAAGATCATGTATGTATAGGTAAAATGGTGTCGGATGACGATATAGGTCACCGCGACTCTGAACCGCAATGATCGGGACATTCGTGTACGAGTTTAAAAGAACAGAATGAGACATGTAACGTGAGGTTGAGAGAACTACCTGGGGAAAGTTGTCGGACTTTGTTGTGAAATGTGCAGTACCGAGGATTGTTTTCCGGAAGAGAGAAGCGGTCCGACGAGGATACGGTCCGGACCAATCTTTCCCACCTGCTCTTCATCGTCTCGTACGCGAAGCCGAATATTTCTGTTCCTTGCTCCTGGACTGCTTTCAGAAGCCTAAAGGCTCTTAGTTGAGCATCTTTGGACATTCCTAAGGAATTCACATGCATGTGTGTAATCATTCTGTTGAACACAGTTTCATCCAGTATCACTGCCCACCTGCATACAACTCGACAATGTGACCCGAAGCTCGAAAAGATGAATTCATTGAGTAACGGTTGAGATTTTTTACCCGAGTCTGGTGCCAGCGTGACCGGTAAGCTTGGAAAGTGTAACACCACCACGTCTTCGTCTGCAGGAGCCGGAATCGTCGTAAAATGAGGCCAGTAGTAGGCACGATCATAGATTGGTTTAACATTAGGACCATGGAGAATCGCTTGCTTTAATTCACCATCAGGATTGTTTGGCGATGTTACCAACTCGATCATGTTTGTGCATCTAGCATCTGATGTATTCCTCCATGTATAAGCATCTCCATCGAACTCGACTTTGCCAAACTGTAGTATTGTGTCTGTTCTTCGTCGAGCTGTCGAAAATCCGAAATCCGATTTGGAATCAAATCAATGACAAACAATTTACAAACTCTTGTAGGAAAACGTTGTATGAGAGTTGGACCAGACCGCATAGTAAGGAACTGAAGCTACAACTCTTGCAGGTGAGGTGGTGTTCTCTGGGGACAGTGCAAAGACTTGCAGCGCTAAGGAGTTGGGTGGAACCTGCACCGAAAACGATAAATCATTTCTCAGTGACCGCATTCCCGACGGTCGCATGTAGTTTCCGGACACGCTGGCTAAATGTTGCATCCAGAAAGGCTCTAGAAACAATGGATCCCCACAGCAAATGTAAACATATTAAATACGAAGAGTCAATCGTATCCAACGAATGTTTTGATTAGTCGATCAATAAATCATCGAAAACTTTAAACACACTGCAGATAGTAAAAACTTGTCATCCGGGTACCAAATATGAATGATCAAATCTAAAAGCTTCACAAAAAAGAAGGAAAAACTTGCTGAAATCATCTGCAGGTACCCATCGGCATTCGCAGCGCAGCGAGGAATAAACCGAGAGCAATCGGGGCCGGTAAAGCACGTATTGCAGCTGCAAACTGGTTGATTCCCATCAGCAACAACAAGGCCATCCAAGTAAGCTCTGCCATGGCCTGAACAGTATATTGCTGCTATTTTTTCAGCTTCAAGTGCTGCCCTTGTGGTCCAGCTCAGCTTCCATTGATCACCAACATATATATCGACGATGAACAACAGATTGAGAGTTATAGAACAAACCAGACATGCCAAATACTTGGAGCTCAACATCCTCTTAACAATCTCTTTTTCTTCCCCTTGAGGCACCCAATAATAATCTCTTGAGATTTGTGGGATCAAAAAAGATGTTTTCATTCGTTTATATTCGTATATTAGATAAACGATTATGAACAAAATTTCTTTGTTCATTTAATAAACGAACGAACACGAACATACGTGTGTTTGGTTTGTTTATATTCACGAAAATGCTCATTTAGTGGCTTGTTTATAAGCTTGATTACCCGGTTCTCATTTTTCTTTTATTTTTTAATATTTTAAAAATCGGTGGAGGTAAGGACTAAATTGAATACAATGTGAACTTTGGAGTCCAAATTGTGAAGCTAAAAGAGCTTAAAGACTAGTGATGTAATTTCATCATTGTCCTAAACATTTCTGAACATATAAATCGGCGAATCTTAAAGGCACGAACACGAACATCTTTAAGAATAAACAAGCGAATATGATTTAACAATTGGACTAAATTGTAAAAGTTGAAAGTTTGAAGGACAATTCAACTATGCATAAATATGTTTTTAAGTAAAAACACATCTGATAATATAGTTTATTATGTTTCAACATCACAGAACACTTGCACAAGTACTTAACAGGTATGGGTCAACAAACGTTGATCTCATTCTTCAAATGTCTTGGCACCATTTTCCTTTGATATAAATTCCTTTAAACGTTCAATTAATAAGTCGAAATCATCTTCGGCTCGGATCAGGCTCAGTCGAACATACCGATCTTCCGCTCCGAACAGATTCCCTCGACGGCCGATGATGTTAGCTTCCTTGAGAACTGCATAACAATCTTTATCTTCTTCCCTCTCACATTTTAACCATGCATAAGCTGCCATAACCATAAGGTTGTTAAGATCATGTATAGGTAAAATGGCGTCGGATGACGATATAGGTTACCGAGACTCCGAAACCGCAGGATCGGGACATACGGTGTACGAGTTTAAAAGAACCGAATGTGATATCTAACAGGGTACTTGTCATGGTAAACATTAGATAACATGTGTGCAACATTTAGAAATTAAAGTTACCTGGGGAAAGTTGTCGGACTTTGTTGTAAAAAGTGCAGTATTGAGGATTGTTTTCCGGGAGAGAGAAGCGGTCCGACGACGATACGGTCCGGACCAATCTTTCCCACCTGCTCTTCATCGTTCGGTACGCGAAGTCGAATATTCCGGTTCCTTCTTCCAGGACTGCTTTCAGAAGCCTAAAAGCTCTTAGTTGAGCATCTTTAGAAATCCCCATGGAATTCAACTTCATGTGTAGCATCATTCTATTGAACACGGTTTCATCCTTTATCACTGCCCACCTGCATACAGCTCAACAATGTGATCCGAAGCTCGAAAAGATGAACTCGATTAAGTAACGGTCGAGCGTTTTTACCCGAGTCTGGTGCCGGCATGACCGGTAAGCTTAGAAAGCGTAAAGACCATCACATCTTCGTCTGCCGGAGCCGGAATCGGCGTAAAATGAGGCCAGTAATACGCTCGATCGTAAATTGTTTTGACGTTTGGACCATGTAGGATCGCTTCCTTTAACTGTCCATCGGGATTGTTCGGTGACGTTACGAACTCGATCATGTCTGTACTACTAGCATCTGATCTATTCCTCCATGTATAAGCATCTCCCTCGAACTCGAATTTCGCCGAACTGTAGTATTGTGTCTGGTCTTTGTCGATCTGTCAGAAATTCGAAATCCGATTTCGAATCAAATCAATTACTAAAACTTCAGTAAAAAAAACGTAGCAAGGAACTTGGACCATACCACATAGTAAGGAACAGAAGATACAACTCTAGCAGGTGATGAGGCATTTTCATTGGAGAGTGCAAAAACTGCAGCACTAAGGACTTGAGTCGAACCAGCACCGAAAATTACGAATCTGTTCTTGGTGACCGCATTCCCGACGGTCGAATGCAGTCTCCGGACGAGCTTTTCGAGCTCTTTCGAGACGAAAGTCAGATCATCATAAGTATATCCCATTTGGTGCCACCCTGGTACTACCAGGGCACTACTGGCTAAATGTTGCATCCAGAAAGGCTCTAAAAACAATGGACTCCCACT